ACACTCTTTTATTTCAATTATTTTAAAAAACTCAAGGATACCACAAGATACCACAAGGTATCTTGTGGTACCCTTAAATCTTTGCTCCTTTATTGTTTCTTATTTACAATATCAATCTTTATGAAAACTTAACATCTATTGTGGTTCTATTTGCTGATGACTCATCTTTATACTATTGTCTTGATAAAAAATCTTTACTTTTTGATTGCTTAGAACAAGCCACTAATTTGTAATCTGTTCTCTCTTCTGTAACAACCTAAGAATGCTGTGGCTTACGGATTTAAATTCTAGACTTAAAATCTGCAATTTTTGTGAGCCAACAAAACTCATTTATTTAACTTGTTTCTCCACGCACCAGCCTTGTTCGTCAAGATTCGTGTTTCGGAGTTATAGAGTTAAGAGAGGGTTATAACCACTATTAAGTAGCCTCCTTGTCTGTAGTGGCCTTCTCGGCCTTGAGGAGGTGAATAACAAAAAAAAAAAAAAAAAAAAAAAATGCATATCAGACCAAGAAAAACACCTAAACTTAACTTTGCATCAACTACTCTTCAAGAGCTTGTTAAATAGGAAAATGGTATTGTACAAGAATATGTTTTTACTTGTTCCCTCACCAGAGATAAGTTGTTATTACTTTTTGATACCATTAATAAATCCTTTGATTAAAATTCATACTCAAAGTACTAAGAATGCTGTAAAACAAGTGACAGTAGCATCTATGTCAGTTGGACCAGATGCAAGTGACAGTAGCATCCATGTCAGTTGGACCAGATGCATCCATGTCAGTTAGACAAGATGCAAGAGATGAGTATATTAGAGCTAGAACTCAACATAGAGAGTTGCTACCTGTTTTTAAAGCAAAGAAAGAAAATTCATTAAATTTTTAACTTCAATAGATTTTGATTTTATTTGTTTTTTAATAGTGTTTTAGTAGTTCTATCAAAATATTGTTGGGGTAAGATAGGGGGATAAACCACCTGTTTTTTGGTGAAAGTATTTTTTAGTCGTTTTGAGAACATTTTAAAAAGCAAAAAAAAAAAAGCAACAGATTAATTGGACCAATGAGAGACAATTACAAAAAAAAAACAAAAAATAGGCAAATAAAATATCTTTAAACGTGAAAAAACTTAAAGCTAAATAAATTACATTTAGAACAAATATTTTCGAAACATCGCTCTTTTATCATTTTTTTTTATAAAATTAAGCGATGTTTTTTATATAAAGTAACAACTTACGATTGTTTAAAAAAGAAACAAATATTCTTTATTTAACTAAGTTTGCAAGTTTTAGTTTTACTTAAGCTAAATTATATTATAAATAAAAAAGTTAATTTTTTTAATACCTATTTTATGTTACGCGTAGTTTGAAAAGTTTAACATATTTGAAGCGATTCTTCTTAGTAAGATAAACAAATGAAATAATTAAATCATTGAATTACTATAGGAATTAAATTATCAAGATAGAAATCAACTAAAAAGGTTAAAAATACTTAATGACCAGCAAGCGAAACTGCTTCACAATATCGCTGATGATGTTTAGTGAGTGGGCTTTTTAATTAGTATTTAAAGCAGAAAAAAGTATAACGAGTTTTAAGAATGGCAAATTAAGCAAAAATAATTAGAGTTAGTAAACCAATATCTAGAAACTTTTCTTTATATCTAATTATTTGCTATATATATTTGTGTTCTGTCGTGACCTCAGGCGCGATGCTTGTTCATCAGCGAGTTACTTTGTATGCATTGTTTGTGTTTTGTAACCAGAAACTTCTTATATGTTTGTTACATAATTAGTTTTATTAACTTTAACGATTATAACTTCATTGAAAACGCAATTATTTTTGTAAGTCTTTGTTTAAATCATAAAAATTGCTTTAAAAGATACATTACAATAAAAAACAAATACACAAAATTACATTTACATAAAGAATACGATCTCTTTTAAAATAAAAAATAAGAATATACTAATAAAATCTATTATTTATAATAAACTTTTAAAATTTTAACAATTTAATTA